GAATGATACAAGAAGAATAATTAGTAAAAGAAAATCGAAGAAAATATGGGTCATGGCAAGGTGCTGATGGTGAAAAAAATTATCGTTCAAATGTTACGATCGTTATGATCAATATCACTAATCAGTTTTATTAATATCATTATTTCTTTCATTTGATAGATCGATCTCTATCGTGGAATATATTTCACGTTTATTGTCCATTAAAAGCGTCATTTTTCAGACACTGAATGAAACAACCATCGAGTCAGGCATGTCTGATAAACCTCATTATGTATCGTTAAAGTGTTTTAATAATTTATGGAAGAAATGAATAGCATCCTAGTTCAGAACACTGACTATTGAGTGTTTTTTTTTTTTTAATTTAATCGTCTCTGTTTGGTATCTCTGTCTTACGGCATTTCCTTCCTCCTACCGTTCTTACTGTACCGCTGCCTCGTTCGCTCCGCCTACACCGTGTCCTGAGCATGGGCGTGGGCTGTGGGCGGGCTTGGGCGACTGGGAGGAGGTGAGGAGCGATTGTCTGAGGATCCCTGACCGGCTCGGCGTGGGAACGGGAAGTGCGGGGGATTCTGAGGGATTTTTTTTTCTCTCTCTCGGTCCGTTCGCTCGCTCTCGTCCATCAGCGGAAGTGCAGGAGCGCGGCGGTCCGAGAGAGAGTAGAGAGGAGAGAGAGGAGATGAGAGAGAGGCGGCGAAGAGAGAGATGAGAGAGAGAGAGAAGACGGAGAGAGAGAGAGAGAGAGAGAGAGAGAGAGAGTGGGAAGAGAGAAAATAGGCGCTGTGTGAGGGAGAGATGCAGGGAGAGGGAAGGGAAAATGGAAGGGAGGGGGGAGGGAATAAAAAAAGAGAAACAAAGGAAGATAAAAGGAAAGGAGGAGATGGGAGAGAGTGCAAGATAGAATGTGTCTGGAATAGACAAGGGTGAAATGAGAGTTCTTAAACAACGGAGGAAACAGAGATTTATTACCTTTGCAGAAAAAATAAGAGGGAGCGTAGTATAATATATATATATATATATAATATAAAAGGGCTTGCTATGGAGGACTATATACATACGGCATATTGACGTTACCGAGGCAAGGAAAGGCTATGTTTCGGATTACATTACAAAACCCATTTTCTTGGAATCCCCGACACCCACCGCTATCAACTTTTTCTTCCTTTGCAAAATAACACTTCATTTTCCACAGACACACACACACACACACACACAAACAAACAAGCACACATAGCATAGACACACACACACACACTAACACACAAGCGCAAACACACACACACACTCACACACACACAACCAAACACACAACCAAACACACCCAACCAAACAAAATCAAAACAAATCATACACCAAACCCACCTTAACATAAGACACCGACCACGACCGACAAACCCGCAGCGCAAGCCTTCAGCATCGCCCCAACAAGCTTAGCAGCACTTTTGTCCCCCCCCCCCCTCCGAGCCCGACCCGCAGTGCAGCGCCGGAGGAACTCGCCCCGACGCCGTCACGCGCGCACGCAGCAGGGAGATGCATCGGGACTGGCTTTGCGGGAGTCGCGATTTTTGCTTCTTTGGGGAATGTGGCTGTTGGCTGTCTGGGAGTGTTTGGTCGCACACCTGGAGCGGCTGAGAAAACTGCACTCTGATGGAAATGAATGTGATGTCTCTAATATGTTGAAACCCCCGTATATGATATATACATATATATATATATATATATATATATATATATATATATATATATATATATAATATATATCTATATCTATATCTATATATTATTACTATATTATAATATAATATATAATATATATAATATATACGTATATATATATATATATATATATATATATATATTATATATATTATATATATATATATATATACATATGTATATATATATAATCTAATTATATTGAAACCCCCCCGTATATATATATATATATATATATATATATATATATATATAATATATATATATATATATATATATATATATATATATTGTATGTTTGTGTGTGCGCACATACATAATGATATATATATGTATGAAAGTATGGATGTATCTATGAATACATTACGTATGCATGCGTGTGTATTCTTTATCAATCTGTATCAATAAATCAAACGAGGAATTTCAGCATTGAAGCCACACATAAACAGCGGTAAAAATAATTAGATTTGAAAGCCGTCGCTCCAACTGTAAGATGATATTTCACGGAGTTATGCACGTCATTGATACGAAAAGAAGTCTCGAGCTTTCTTTTATCAAAGACGATTACGAAATTCGTCTCAGCCACTCGTAGCCTTCAAGTTTCAGACACTTTGTATGAATTTTTTTTTTTAGATTTTAATCATTTCTTCTGATGTCGGATCGTTGCACCGAAGTCAGCAAGTTCACGCTGGAAAAAGAGACAAGAAATGATAGAATGAGATTCACTTTCCAACACTTTTTGTCGATGCTTTTGTTTCGTAATTTTCTTCTTCAAGTCTTTGACATTTGTATTGCATCTCGCTTTCTCTATGCTTTTCTCCTCTCCTCTCTCTGTCTATGATTTCACTAACTTTTTTCATTTTCTTTTTCTCTTTGTTTGTCCCTCGTTTCCCTCTCTCTCTTTTAATTCTTTCACTTTCTTTCAGTTTTTTCTTCCTCTCGCTCTCGCTCTCGCTCCTCTCTCTCTCTCCTTCTTTTCCACCTTTTTCCTCTCTCCCCCTACCTTTCTTCCACCATCCTCTTTCTTTCGTACTTCATCTCTCTTCCTTCCTTTCCTCCCTGTTCTCCCCCCCCCCATCTCTCTCTTTCACCCCCTCTCCTTTGGATCAATGTTATGCAACTTTATCTAAACATCAACAAAGGCGACTCACATCCTTGAAAAAAGTGATAAAACGTTTTTTTTTTTTTTTTTTTTTTTGCGGGGGGGGGGGGAGTAAGACAAGGTTTTGTCAAAGATTAAGACTTTCCTTCGTGTTGGAAAGTTGTGTTCACCAAGTTCCTCTCACGTTCTTAACTCCAGATATCGGTTATGATATCGGTTTCACTTTCAAGTCTTGCTTCATCACTAACAAAGGATGGCAGAAATATGAATGAAATATTCAAAACCTCCGTGAATGAAAGGGTGACATTACGCCAAAGCCTGCAGTGACATTCCTACAAAGGCATATCCATCATATCTGTTTTTTTTAGTCATCTCTTTATCTGTTTTCTTTCTCTTTTTAACTGTTTTTTCTCGCTTTAGTCATCTCTTTATCAATTATCTTTTTTATTTTAATTGTTTTTTCTCACTTTAGTTATCTCTTTATCTATCATCTTTTTCTGTTTAATTGTTTTTCTCTTTTTAGTCATCTCTATACATTATAATTTTCTTTTGAACTGTTTTTCTCACTTTAGTTATCTCTTTATCTATTATCTTTTTCTTTTTAACCGTTTTTCTCTCTTTAGTTTTCTCTTTATCTATCATCTTTTTCTTTTAACTGTTTTCTCTCTTTAGTTATCTCTTTATCTTTTTTTTAATGACGCATCTGTGATTTCATTCCAAGCCTCTGCGGTTATTGCGGACCCAGGATGACCGCAGGAACAAGAGGGAAGAACCGCAAAATCAAGACAAGGTTTTATGCAGTTCTCTTTTAAAGAAACTTCAAATAACGTTCTGTAAAAAAAAAAAAAAAAAACATAGATGGATAAATAGATAGATAGAAAGACAGATGGAGATATAGATAAAGTGATAGATAGAATGATAAATAGATAGACTGAGAGAGAGAGAGAGAGAGAGAGAGAGAGAGAGAGAGAGAGAGAGAGAGAGAGAGAGAGAGAGAGAGAGAGAGAGAGAGAGAGAGAGAGAAGCAGATATATAAATATATAAATAGATAGATAGATAGATAGATAGAGAAAGGGGGGGGGGGAGAGAGTGAGACTGACTACAAGAAATGTAATGGTGTTTTGTTAGACTGGAAATAGTCGGAAAAACTTTAGAAAATATAAATCCTAGAACAGCTAACCATAAAAAATATATCTCTTCTTATTTTAATATTTTCCCGTAGCGATTTTTATCAGTTACAGTAATTGTTTCCAACAAACTTGCGACATCATATCGCCTGTATCGCGTCTGGAGTTCGTCTGGCGCCTCTCCTAATTTCCTGCCTTAGCTTCAACATCTTATCTCAAACTCCAGATATCCAAAAAAGGGGGAAATCTCTTGAGCCTCTAAAAGGAGTGATCATCGCGGCCCCAAAAGAATCAATCTATGTCCTCGTTGGACCTGACAGCTTCTTTCACATCAGTTTGATTGGAGAACTTGGTAGTATTCGCACAACTTACGAGTTATCCGCACTTCAAAAACAGACGCGGTTGGTTCGAACGCTTCGCCTTTGAGTCGAACCGTCTCGTGAATCCATGTCTAGGCGACGAAGCACTGGCAACCTTCGCTCTTAATAAAGCTGTCTATCAAAATTTCCTCTCACTCAGACAAGATAATGGAGACACCGAACCAGAAAGAGGAAGAAAAAAATAAGAGAAGAAAAGGGAGAAAAGGGGAAATTACTCGTCTCGCCGAAACAAGGAAGATACGGAAGATAGATAAGAAAATAAAGAATGAAGCAGGAAAATCACTCGTCAATCTTACAAGATTACGAGGACGCCAGAGTAATAAAGTTGGGAAAGAAGAAAATAGAAAAAAGAGAAAAGAAGAAAATGCTCATCTCATTAAGACAAAATAATGAAGATGCCAAGAAAAGAAAAATGAATAAATAAATAGACATAAACTAAAAAGGGAGGAAGCGAAAGAGTGGAAAAATCATAAAATCACTCGCTCTACTATGACAAATAAATCCACGAAGACCCCAAACCAAAACAGAGAACAACAAAAAAGATGGATTAAAAGAAAAGGAAAAAGGGAAAACAATCCCCCCCAAAAAAAAAAAAAAAAAAAAAAAAACTTCACACACCAACTCGCATTACGCACCAACGTGCATTAAGTTCAAGGTCGTCTCATTCCCCGACCAGCGAGCCTCCCGCTCTGTCTTTCGAAAGCAACAGCGCGAGGGTTTGTGGCACGGAGGCGTCGCTGCCCCATTTGCTGAACAAACACTGATACATAATCAGCGCAAAAGATGCCGGTTCCTCCTCCTAACCAAATCCCGGCGGTATAGGAAACCCCGAAGGAGGATTACCATAATATTAGGGATGCAGGAGAGGGAGAGGAGGGAGGAAGTAAAGAGGAGAGGGGAGGGAGAGGAAGTAAACAGGGAGAGAGGGAGGGAGAGGGAAGTAAAACAGGGAGAGAGGGAGGGAGAGGGAAATAAAGAGGGAGAGAGAGGGAGGAGGGAGAGGGAAGTAAACAGGGAGAGAGGGAGGGAGAGGGAAGTAAAGAGGGAGAGAGGGAGGGAGAGGAAGTAAAGAGGGAGAGAGGGAAGGAAGGGAGGGAGGGAGGGAGGGGAGTAAAAGGAAAGAGGGAGGGAGGGGAGTAAAGAGGAGAGGGAAGTAAACAGGGAGAGGGGAGGGAGAGGGAGTAAACAGGGAGAGAGGGAAGGGAGGGAGAGGGAGGGAGGGGAGTAAAGAAGGGAAAGAGGGAGGGAGGGGAGTAAAGAGGGAGAGAGGCGGGGAGGAAAGTAAAGAGAAGAAGGGAAGAGAGGGAAGTAAGAGGGAGAGGAAGAGAGGGGAGTAAAGGGAAGACGAAAGGGAGAGGGAGGAGGGAGGGAGACGGAGGGAGAGGGAGGAAGGAAGGAGAGGAAGGGAGGGAGGGAGGGAGGGAGAGAGAGAGAGAAAGATAGATAGATAGATAGATAGATAGATAGAGAGAGAGAGAGAGAGAGAGAGAAGAGAGAGAGGAGAGAGAGAGAGAGAGAGAGAGAGAGAGAGAGAGAGAGAATTAGAAAGAGAAGAAGAGAGAAGAGAAAAGAGAGAGAGAGAGAGAGAGAGAGAGAGAGAGAGAGAGAAGAGAAAAAGAGATAGGCAGACAGAGAGAGAGAGAATTAGAGAGAGAAGAAGAGAAACAGAGACAGAGACGACAGAGAGAGAGAGAGAGGCTGACAGAGGGGAAATATGCAGGCGTGGAGTGCGGCTGCG